TTTTTTTTTTTTTTTGTTAATAGTGTGTGTAATTATTTTTAAAAAAGTATATATATAAATATTTTTAAAATATTTTAAATATTATATTACTAACATTTATTATCATTTTCAGCATCAAATAGTGACAGTGAATTTAAAATATTAAAAACAGAAGAAAATGAAGATAAATTTTTAGAGGAGAGAAGAAGACAAAGAGAAGCAATAAAAGAGAGGTTAAAAAATTTAGTTGATAATAATAATAATTCAAATAATGAAAAAGCAGATGGAGAAAATATTAGAGACAATAAAGAAAAAAATGAAGAAAATATAAATGATATCTCAAATAACAGTCAAAATGATATAATAATATCTTCTGATTTAGAAAAGGAAAAAAGAGATAATAAAAAGGATCCAATGGTGGTATTAAATGAAATATCAACATTAGAAGAAATGGAACAAAAGTAATTATAATATTTATATATTTTTAATTTTTCTCATATATTTTGACTTATGTATATTTAATTACTTATACTTTATATATATGATTAAAATCTTATTATGTTATTATTTACATTTTTAAAAAATTTATTAAGAACTGTAAATGATATTCTTATTAATTATCTGTGTATTACATCTTTTTATTATATAAAATACTTATGAAAATATTCGTTTAAATCTTTTGTGTAATAAATCTTTTTATAATAGACAAGTAGCGTGTATATTTGGTCCCAATAATGAAGTAATTGAAGAAACATGTTCATCTTTATCATCTGATCATGAAGTAATAGAAGAGAAACCAACAAAGGAAAAAAATGAGTTAGTAAAAGAATCCAATGATTTATATAGTGATTTAAAAAAAAAGATAGATGAAGAAAAAGCTAAAATTAGAGTATTTATAATCAAACAAAAAGAATTGCATGAAAGAAGAAAAATGGTAATTATTTCAATAGAAAATTAAAAAAATAAAATAAAAATTATTTGTTTTGCTAATAAGTGTAAATAAAAGAAAAATTATCATTTAATTTATAACTTTATTATAAATATATGTTACATATTAAAATTAAATATAAAAAAAATTATTAAACATTATATATATTGTAATTTTTATTCTTAGAACAATGATGATACTTCATTTATAAATAAAAATAAGGAAATTAATTTAATTAATAATAAAAGCGATAGTATTGAAGAAGAAGATAATGAAAATGACGAAGTGGATATGTTTTCAAGTGTTCAATCAAATAAAAAGAGAAAAATAGAAAGTACTTTAATAACTGATTATTATTCAACAAACAATGCAAATTTATCAGATAACTGGAATGATTCAGAAGGATATTATAAGGTTTGTATTTATTTATATTTTTGCTAAAACTTATTCTCATTTTATATATAACGTATTTTTCTCTTTTTTTAAAGGCAATTGTTGGTGAAGTAATTGATAATAGATATAGCGTTGTGTGTGAATTAGTTGGGAAAGGTGTTTTTTCTAATGTGTTAAAATGCTATGATATGGTTAATAAGATGCCTGTAGCCATTAAAGTTATTAGAGATAACGATATGATGAAAAAAGCAGCAGAAAAGGAAATTTCAATTTTGAAAAAATTAAATCAATATGATAAAGATAATAAGAGGCATATTGTTCGTTTATTACGAAGTATTAAATATAAAAATCATTTATGCTTAGTTTTTGAATGGATGTGGGGAAATTTAAGAATAGCTCTAAAAAAGTAAAAAAAAAAAAAAAATAAATAAATAAAAATAATAAAATAATTAAATAAATATGAGTGATAGAAAGCGAGTTTAATTTTGTTTAAATAAATGTAATCATTCTTTTTTTTTTTTAGATATGGTAATGGATATGGTTTAAATGCAACAGCTGTACACTGTTATACAAAACAATTATTTATAGCTTTAAGACATATGCGTAAATGTAAAATAATGCACGCTGACTGTAAGTATTTTTATAATATAAAAATAATTAATAATTTTAATATAAAAAAATTTTAAATATTTTCATCCTTTTTCTCTACATAAATATATATATTATTTCTTTAACAGTAAAGCCCGATAATATATTAATTAATGAAAAATTTAATGCTTTAAAGGTGTGCGATTTAGGAAGTGCTAGTGATATATCAGAAAATGAAATTACTTCTTATTTAGTTAGTAGATTTTATAGAGCACCAGAAATTATTTTAGGTTTTCGTTATGATGCACAAATTGATGTATGGGCTGCAGCAGCTACAATCTTTGAGCTAGCTACAGGAAAAATTTTATTTCCTGTATGAATAAAAAAAAAAAAAAAAAAAAAAAAAAAAAATAATGATTGTTTGTACATATTCTTCTAGTAACATTTTTAATAATATTTTCTTTTATATTTATATACATAAAATAAATATGTTTATATGCTATTATTATTTTTATTATTATTACTTTTTTAGGGGAAATCAAATAATCATATGATAAAATTAATGATGGAATACAAAGGAAAGTTTTCACATAAAATGATCAAAGGTGGACAATTTTATTCTCAGCATTTTAATGAAAATTTAGATTTTATATATGTCGATAGAGATTCTTATACTAAAAAAGAAATAGTAAGGGTAATATCGGATTTGAGACCTACTAAAAATATAACATGTGATTTATTAGAACACCAGTACTGGCTGAAAGGTAAATTTTTCAAAAAATATAAAATAAAAAATTAAAAAATGTATTTTATTTTTCTAAAATTTTTTATATAATTTTATTAAAAAAAAAAAAAAAAAAAGAATAAAATAAAATGATAAAGTGAATATTAATAATTATAGTGATTTTCATTAAATATTTATACATATAAATAAAAAAACAAAACAGTAAAGATTTTTTAATGATGAATATATAATGTCATTATCAATAAGAAAAAAAATAGAAAAATTAAAAAATATTTTAATTTTATAGGAAATAGTCCTAAAATGCAATTTTTAAAAAAGAAAATAAAACAATTAGGAGATTTATTAGAAAAATGTTTAATGCTAGATCCATCAAAAAGATATACACCAGACCAAGCTTTACAACATGCTTATTTGAGAGAATCAATTCATTTTTCAAAAGCTCAAAATGAGTGAAATGAAATAGAAAATTTTGAAATAATAATACAAAAATTAAGAAAACAATTTTATGTTTTCATCCTTCTTTTTTTCCTTCTTTTTTTTTTTTTTTTTTTAATGGAAAGTATACATTTTTCTTTCTTTTTTTTTTTTTTTTTCTTTATCTTTTATTTATTTATTTTTTAAATTTAATATGTCTTAATTTTTTTGTTGCAAAAACTTGGATAACATCCGAAGGATCCCTATTTTCAAATGATATTTCATAAATAGTGCAAAACAACGGGAAATCTTTTTTTAAATTATGATATTCTAATACACTATAAACCTCTTTAACTGTGTGTATTCCCTATAGTAAAAAAATTTATTTTATATAATTATCATATTTAAAAATAATCTTAACTGGTAATAAAAAATATTATAATGTAGAAAAATATTTTAGTTTACAATTATTTTTATTTTAAAGTAAATACTTGAAGTTTTTGTCCATTTAATAATTCTTCTTCAATTTTCTCCCATGTTGTTTTTCCTTTTCTAATTGCAAATTCTTTTGCACATTTTAGATTTCTTCCACCAAGGCAAGTTGTTATAAGATCAGCTAATCCACAACTATCTAAAAATGTTTCCTTTTAAAAATTAGTATATAAAAAAAAAAAAAAAGTAGATATATGAATTAATATTATATTTATTCTTCATTTAATTTTATATATATATATAATTTATATATTTTTACATCTAAAACATTTGGGAAAAAAATTTTAGCAAATTTTTTAATTTCTTCTAATCCAATCCTTATAATAGCAGATTTTGTATTAAAGCTGTTTGTCAATCCATCACAAAATCCTACACCCATAGCTACAACATTTTTTAAGGCACCACATATCTATAGTTTAAAAAAAAAAAAAAAAAGTAAGTTTATAATTTTATTAAAAAAAGAAAACAAAAAAAAAAAAAAAAAAATACTTCCACTCCAGCTTTATCTTGTATGCAATTTATCTTAAAATAATTTGTATCAAATAAGTTCTGCCATATTTCAACTGTTTCTCTATTTTCAAAACCAATTGTACTTTCGCTAAAATATTCTTCAGAAATTTCCTATTAAATTGTTGTAATTAATTTTTTTCATATATTTATTTTTAGTATATATTTTTAAGTTATCTTAACAATAATTTTTAAAATAAATGTACAACAAATTTTTATATAATATTATAAGAAGAATTCATATGTTATATATATTATAAACGATATAATAATTAAATTTATCCTAAAATATAAATATAATTATATATATAAAAACATGACAATTTACTTTAGCAATATTTGATCCAGATAAAGCTGAACACTCAATATTTAATTCTTTTTGAATTATATTTGATAATAATTCGGGTTTCCAATTGTCTATTTTTATTCCTTTCATTAAACTTATTGCTTTTGCATCCTTCTTAAGATTATTATTTTTTTTTATTTCATTTAATACATTCTTCATTAAAGAAAAAAATGTTAAAAAAAAATAATACAAAAGAAAAAATAAAATGAAATGTTTTTTATTAAGAATACATTACGCCATATATCAATTTAAAAAAATAAATATCTTTAAAATAGAATTTAAGTTCTATTTTTATTTTATATTTTCTTAATTACATTTAAATATTGGTGAGGTAAAACAAAAACTAGTAAGTCAGCTTCCTCTGTTGCTTCATTTAAGTCAGAAACAGCCACAATGTTATCTGGTATTTTCATTCCTTTCATATATTTTACATTTTCTTTTTTTTTATTTATGATATCACTTAATTTTTCGTTGTCTATTATTTCTTCTTTAACATACATTTTAACCTAAGTTAATTTATATTACATTTAAATATATAAAATTTTTTTTTTATTTTTATGTTTTCCTCGTAAAAATATATATATTGTTGTTGCGTTATTTATTTATTTTATTTTATTTTATTTTATTTTTTTTTTTTTTTTTTTTTTTTTACAATTGGATAAAAATTTTTTAATTTTTTTGCGTTTGCACCGATAATTTTAGAAATTACTGTTCCCCAATTTCCACTTCCAATTATAGATACCTTAAAAGAAAAAAAAAAGATATTTTATTTTATTTTTACTTTACATTTCTTATTTTTTTTTTCCTTAAGAATATGTAATATATTACTAAAATATATTTTAGTGTAACTTGCATTTTTTTACAACTCAACTTGTTCTATATATATATATATATATATATATATATATATATAGGTATATTTAAATAAATATATACACATATATAAAAATGAATATATATATATAAAGATAGATGGATATATAGAAATATGAATGTTTTTTTTTTTTTTTTCCTTTTCTTTTTTATTACCTTTAAAGGTTTGTTATTTTTGACATTTGCAATTAATGAATTTTGATTTAAGAAATTAACTTGGTTATTAGAAAAACATTTAATTAAATGAGACAAAAAAATAATATTGTACAAAAAATATTTTTTTAACATTTTCTTAGTTTTTTAATTATGAAAAGTTACAAAAAAAAAATGTGAATATATATTTATAATTTATAAAAAAAAAAAAAATTAATCCTTCCAGTTATTCACTTATATAAACATAAAAAGAGTATTTATTTTATTTTCAAACAAATTTCTTCATTTTTGTTTTTTTTCTTTTTTTTAAATTGAGAATACAAGAAAAATCTATTATTTTAGTAAAAGATATATAATATAAACATAAGTGTTAAAATATATGTAAATATAATAGTTTAAATTTTTCAAATAAATTTTAATTCTTATTAAATTTAATGTACACATGAAATATAGCTTACATTACATATCGCCATAAAATGAAATTAAATGTAGAACTATTTTTTTATTTTTTTTTAATTTTTTATTTTTTTTTATATTGGAGTAATTATTAATAATAAGAGTATTCATATAAGAAGTGCAGAATATCCTTATTATTTTTATTTTTATTTTAATAAATTATCTATTATCTTTAAATGCACATTCAAAATTTCTTTTTTAAATTCTTATTATACATATTTATTCCCTTTTTTTTTGAAAAATAAATGAAAATATTAGAAAAATTTACATTTTTTTTACTTAAATCTTTTTTATTTTATTTTTTTTAATTTGATAATTTTAAGAATATATAAAAAAAAAAAGTTGTATAACAAAAAAATGTATTTTTATCAAAAAAAAAAAAATAAAAAAAATAAATAAATAAAACTTAATTTCGTATTTTCATACAGGAACATATTTTTAAAATTTCATAAAATTAGGTGTTTAAATAAAAATATTTAAATAACAATTTTTTTTTTTAGGTAATTTATTTTTTAGTTTTATTTGTTTTTTTGTTAAATATATTTATTTTAAAATTAATAATATGGTCTCTATAAAAAATTACTTTAAATATTTTTTATGTATAAAATTATTCAGAACATTCTATTAAATTTAAAGAATAAATCTTAAATATAATAAAGATACTGTTAATACTTTTTTTTTTTTTTTATATTTATTTATCTAAAAAATATATATATGAAAAGAAATTTTTTTTGTTATTCTTTTGTTTTATTCTTTATATATATTGTTATACTTTCAATTATTATATTATTTGGTTAATGTTTTATTTTAATTTTTTTTGTGTAACTTTAACAACATTTTTTTTTACTTAGATTATATTAACCTATATTTGTATAATTTCTATTAAGACAAAACTGTATATTTATTTAAAAAAGGAAAAAAAAAATTTCACAATTAATTTTTAGCTTTTTTTCTTTTTGTTAATATGTTTTAAAATTTTACTTATTAATGGTTTTAATAATGTTTTTTACATGAATTATTAATTTAAAATTTTTATTTTTTTAAAATTTTAATTTTAATGACTCTTTATTCATAAGTAAAAAGAATAACATTAAGTGATATTGACAAAAAGGTAAGAAAATATAAAAAAATAGTAACTTCATTTAATAAGTTAAAAATTATTTTGGTTTATTAAAAAGATAAAGTAATATAATAAATATACCAAGCTTTATATATATGAAAGTATGCACTCATATATGATAACTTAAAAATTAAAAAAATGAACGAAAATAACAGTAAAAGCTTAGAAAAAAAGTTGACCTTAAATGATAATAAAAAAGAAACAAAAAATATAGATGAAAAATCATACGAAAAATTATATAAAAATATGAATGATGAATACTACAGACAATTAAATGAAAAAAAAATAATTAAGAATTCTAATGAGAATTTTTGCAAAAAATATGAAGAAGAAATAGTTAAAAATTCCCATGAACATCTGAATAAATTAACAGAAGACAATATATTAGGTGATTCAAACGAAAATACATATAAAAAAGTAATAGAAAATTTAAATATAAATGAAAATATTTATAAAGAAATAGTGAATGCCTTTGATGAAATTTTAAATAGAAAATCTTATGAAAATAAATCTACCGATAATACACATGAAAGTTTCAGTGAGAAGATCAATGTGAATTTCTTTAAATCGGATGAGTTTTTAGATGATTTTAACAGAAATTTTTCGGAACAAAAATCTTCTACATCTACACTTTCATTGTTCTCATCAAATTCTGATGATTCTAGTATATTTGAAGATAAAGATAATTTAATAAACATATATATAGGTCAAATAAAACTTTATAATATTTTAAATAATTCTAATTTTTATGAAAATGTTTTTTGTGTATCATATTTTGCATATGAAGATCCAATGGAGACTTTTAGTTTATTTCAAGGAATAAATTGGCTTCCTGAACTTAAAAATAGATGTACATTTTTAAGTTCAGTTGAGTATTTACCTAAAAAAAATGTTAAAATAAATAGTGTTGATGTTGGTATAAATATTAATCAATACATTAATTTAAAAAATAGAAAAAATGAATACTTAAATATTATATATAATGATATAATATATGTTTTTATTTCTATTGTGGGAGTTAATTTAAAAGAATTTGAAAACTATTATTCCAAGAAAATTTCTAAAAAATATCGTAAAGTAAATTTTAAAGATGATTCGTTATCCCATAAAATGGAAGATAATTCGCATACAATTCATGAAGACATAAATAATAAAAAAACGTTAGATATAAATGAAATACATATAAAAAATAATAAAATACATAATGAAGATATGGGTGAAGAAGAATTAATTAAAGAAATCAGAAGTGAAATTGAGGATAAAATGAGAATAATAGGTAATAAAAAAATAATTCAAGAAAAAGATTATAAAGATTACCTTAAAATTTTAGGTTCATCTATTATTCCAATTAGTATAGAAGATGAACATGTTTTAGAAAAAAAAAGTAATTGGAATTTAGTAAACATTAAAAATAATTATAATAGTTATAATGTATATTCCCATAATACTATTAGAACTATTTTAAATAATTATTTAGATGCCTTCAAAATAAATAAAAAAGTAGACCTGTTTCATTTAATTAATGAATATGAAAATGAATTAATACCCATTGGTAAAATTAAACTACTAATTAATGTAAAAAATAAAACAAATATCTCTATTCCTAATATTCTTAATAATAAAACTGATGATATAAAAAGTGATTCAAGTAATGTGAATAAAATGATAAACAGAATTCTAAATTACGAAAAAATAAATAAAAATACAAAAAAAGACAATATTTCTGATAATGATATAAATGAGAAATATCTAAATATTAACAAAGATACGGAAAAAGAAACAAATTCTTCTAGGTTGGAAAATAAAGAAAGTAATATTTATTTCAACAGAATATTTAATTATATAGAAAAAAATCTTAATAAAATTTATGATGAAGAAGAAGAAAATATATTAAGAAACGAGTTATTTAAGACTATTTTTAGTAAATTAGAACTATCAAAAAAGAAAGAAAAAAAATTATTTCTATTTAATGAAATTGTATGTTCCCATTTAATTGTATTTGTTCATTATATATCAAGAATAACTTTAAATTTAAGTATCCTAAAAAATTTTGTTCATTTGAATAATTTTTATTTAATAATTTATTGGGATGAAGAAGGAGATACTATGGAGAACATTGAAAAAATAAAATTAAGAAAAAGTAGAATTATGGAGTTAAATACAAAAAAAGACATTGAATTGGATTATTATTTTCTTACACACAATGAAAATGATCTAAAATATAAAATGAATAAAAAAGATAATATAGTAAATTTGAAATTAAATTTCAATAGTTGCGTTATATTACCATATAATCATAATATATATCCTCATTTAAATATCATACTATTTCATAATGATATTCCTCTTTTAGAATTAGCTGAGAAGATTTTAATAAATGATAAAACTCCTTTTAATGATGGTGTTAAAATTAAAAAAAAACTAAAAGTTCATGAGGATTATAAACATAAGGCATATAATTTTCTTCAAGAGAAATTTAGTCCTTATATTGAATTATCTTTTTATAAGCATCCTAAAAACAGTAAATTATTATCTTATAGTAATTATAGATTATATTATAAGGAAAAAATGAAATGTAACATAGATAATTATATTCATTTATCATATTCAGCTCCCAAATTTAATAAAGAGAATATATTTTTTTTATTTTTTGATGATTTTGCAAATGGAAATATGTTTAATGAAAGTAAATGTAATACTCTGGATTTTTTTAAAAACGATTTCTTTTTACCAGTCATAGAGAATGAAAAAAAAACGTTAGAAAGTTCTAGAAAAAGTGAAAGAGAAAAGAAAAATAATGAAAATATGCTTTTAGATATAAAAGAAAAAAGTAACTCAAAAAAGAATAATAATTATTTGCCTTTAATAAAAAATGACATAATTGATTTTGCTATAGCAGAAGGACCTGGTTTAAAAGGAGGGGAAATAAATAAATGGCTTTCTTTTAATGTATATACAAAAAATTATAAAAAGAAAAACATTTATTGTGGTGAGTTTGTTAATATAAGATTACAAGTTGAGCCATTTGGATTTTTAAAATCCGAATATGATATTTATCCATATAAAAATAATGAAGTAAATAAGAGTACTGTAAATTGCTATAAATGTAATAAAAAATTAATGGGTTCTGAGCATTTCTGTTTTAAGTTATTCTATGATATTCATGAAACAGTAGATTATAAAATAGAAGATTTAAAAAATGGAGTATATAATATTTTATATAAAGTCAGTAAAGTAGGAAAAAAATTTTTATACATATATTGTGACGGGATCAATATCATAGGTTCTCCATATGAAATAAATATTTTTCATTCTACCACTGATCCTAAATCTTCTAAAATACTAGGTGAAGGGGCTACTAGGTGTTTAGGTACTCCCATTATAAATATAGAGAATTTTTCTTATAATGAAAAATCGAATTTTTTAAATGTAAATAATTGTGATAACACAAATAATATAAGTTACAATAGTAATATACAATCAAAATTGCTTCAAGAAAAAATTGATGAATTTGAAAGGATAAAAATGAAATTTGAAAACAAAATAGTATTAGCTTCAGATAATAAGGAAAAGTTTGTTAATAAAAATAATTCATATCAATCAAATTATTCTTATCCAAATAACAAGGAAGAAAAACAAATAATTTTAAATGAACAGGAAGAGAAAAAGGAAATATCAAATAACTGTAATGAAAAAAAACACGAGGGAAAACAAAATGTTTTTAACGAAATAGAACACAAAAATAATGAAATAAATAATAGTAATAATATTCACCCCTTTTCTATCGATAAAGATGAAGAAAATTCACATATAAATATGAATAGTGAGGAAAACCAAAAAACCACAAGTAATGTACATGAGGATATCTTGTCTGAAAGAAAGAATTATGTTCATAAAGAAAATTTAATATTTAGTAATCCGGAATATTATGATGAAATAAATGGAAATATAATAAAATTAGATAAAATTAATAATGAAAAATATAAAAACTTTTTAAGAAATATAGAAGTTATTAATAACTTTACTGTTGTTTTATGTGATCAATATGGAGAAAGAGTAAGTATAGGTAATGAAAATATTAAGGTTATAGGGAAAAATGGTGCTTATATAAAAAATGTTATAGATAATAATGACGGTAGTTACACAATTGAATATATTAGTTACGTTAAAAAAGAAAAAAAAAAAAATTTTGGAGATATTAAAAAGGAAGAAATATTAAACTTTTATAATGAATTTTTATTTCAAGAAAATAAATATTATGATAATTATATAATCAAAGAATTTGAAAAAAGATTCAGTGATTTACCTATATATTGTGAGATTAATGTTTATGTAAATGAAGTAGAAATATTTGGTTCTCCACTAAAACCAATAATTATGAACATTCACAACATAATAGAGCTTTATAATTTATATGACCAGTTTACTTATTCTGGTTTGCTTTTAAAAAATTTTGAATATTTATTAGATTCAAAAAATTATCAAGCTTGTATTGATAATTTATGTGAATTTTATAATAATATGGTAGACGTAGAAGACATTCCTTCCTTTAAAAATCTACTACCAAATATAATACATGATAATAATATTGAAAATGAAAATTTCTTTTTTAAAATTCCTTTGAATATTTCGGAATTAAAAAAGGGAGCTTTTATTGAAAATAAGCTACCTATCAATAAGTTATCATGGAAAAATATTAAGAAATATAAAAATTTTTATAAAAGTAATTTAAATGAAGAAAAAAATATGTATGTGCATGAAAATGATTTAAATAATAAAACTTTTTTAAACAATGACAAAACAGGGGATGATATATTAAATTATGGTAAAAATAATATATCAAATAAATATGAAAATGATATAAAATATAAAATAGGAAGTAATTTGTGTCATAATATAAACTACAAATTAATAACTAATAACACAGATGATGAAAATACGGATTTTTTAAATAAATGGTTATACATGTACACTCATAGAGAGAAACTTTCTAATTTAAATAATAAATATGATTTAGGAATGAATTTAGCATATTCTTTAAGTAACATTATTTTACACCATCTTATTTATTTAAAAAAATATAAATATTTTGTTAATTTCAAACAATACGAAAATGACTTATTACAAAATAATATATTAACTCAATTCAAGAAAATACTAGAGGAGGAATACAATAAGATGTTTGCTTATCAAACAAATAATATTATAAAATATTGCAATAAGATTGGAAATGCAAAGTTCAATAGTTTAGAAAATTTAATAAAAGTATATAAAGGTATAGCTTATGAACTCAGAAAACTAAAAAAAAACGAATTAGCAAATGATTTTGATAAATGTTGTGAATATATGTGTGAAGAATTATATTTAGGTAATATTGAATCAAACTTAAAACGAAAAGAAGCTTTATTGAATAAATATGAGAAAATCATGAATGAAAAAATTGAGAAAGTAGATAAAATTAAAAATTCTTTAAAAAAATATGATGATAAAAAGGTGGATTTAGAAAAAATTTCCAAATTATGCATAGTTAAAACGAATAAAGAAGTTCAAACAAATGACTATTTATCATACAAAACTGGATTTTTGAGTTCATTAATTGAATCTAGAAAGGAAACCAATGATGACAATATCATTGACAAAAAAATTGTAAGTTTAGTTAGAAAAAGTTGGAAGAATTCTTCTACATATGATATTTACACAACTATTCCAAATACTTTAAAAAACTGTCCAAGATTAAAAATAGCTTTAGAAGAAACATTTAATTATTATAGTTGTAGTTTTAGAAAAAATAGCAAAATAAGAGATCTAGAATTTAAAAAAATGCAAGAAATAAAAAATGTAGATAATGTAGATAATCTAAAAAAAATTGAATTACAAGAAGAAAATTTTCTATCTTATAATGATTTGAACGATTCCTATTTAACTTATAATGCCTATTTTTCTCTTATAAATGATTTAAAATGCAATAAATATTTTATAAATGATTTAGACAATGTTTTATGGTTATTTGAAAAATTCTCAATAGAACACAGTTCTTTTAAAAATTTATATAATCCATATGGTTTATTAAGAGTTATTCCTAAATATTTATTTATAGCATTTATAAGAGAGTTATCTTATTTAAATTTATTATATGTTTTGGCACAACTTGTTGTTGAAAATAATGAAAATTCTAAATTATATTTGACAATAAATCATCCTTCTAGACTATCATCATTTCATCATTTCATTAAATATCATTTCATTCACTTTTATGATAAATTATGCAATCTGGATAACTTTCAAAATTTTAAACTAAACTTAATTGAACTAAATGATGTAATAGAAGAAACAACACAAAATAATACCTCTGCTGATGATCATATAAACTTATTAGAATTAGAAAATTATTTTAATAATGAATTACCTTTAATTGTTAAACATAAAAATTTTTCAAAAACTTTTCCTTTGCTTTTTGAATACTACTCTAAATTATCTATGAATCAGAATAAAACATGTGACAAAAGGGAAATAAACAATAAAAAGAAAACAAATGAAATAAAAAAGAGCGAAACAAAAGAAGACATGGATCTAGATAAAGAAAAGAAAGAAGATACAGATGTAGAAACAGAATCATATCAAAATTCTACTGATAATAAATATATATCTATTAGTATTTTTATAAGAATTTTAAGGGAATTTGGTTTAATACCTCACTTTTTTGATAATAATGTAGTTAAGCAAATTTTAAATTCCTCTATGAAAAATAAAAAGAAATTAAATTATGATGATTTTTCTTATGCTATTATTTTATCTATTTGTGAATGTGTTAAAAAAAATATTATGACACAATACAATATGTTAAGAACAAATAAATGCAAAAATTCAAAAATTCAAGCAGAGAAAATTTTAAATTATAATTATGTAGTAAATGAAGTAAAAGAATTAATATATCTTTTCGGTTTTTCAGATATTAATATTGTTAAATCTAAAATAAGCATTTAAAAAATTAATAAATTCATTTCTTTCTTTTTTTCGTATTTTTTGCTATTATTACATAATATTATATTTTATCTTATTATCTTTTTCAAAGAATATTTGTGTATATATTTATCAGTTTATATAATAAAATTTTTAATTTTAATTTTTTTTTTATTTTTTATTTTTTTTTTTTTTGTTAATATACAATTATGATTTTATTTTGTATTTTTTTTTAATGTTCATTTTTAACACAATAGATAATTGCAATTTTTTTCAAATATATTAAAATTTTTTTTTTTGTATATATTTTTCGATAAATGTACTTTTTAATTTTTTTTTTTTTTTTTTTTTTTGTTAAATCTTATTTCACTATTGATTTATTTTTTTAATAATATAATATCATATGAAATGAAATAAAATATAATCTTTTTTTTTTTGTTTTATTTTGTTAAAACAGTTAAAAAAACATTGATAATAATATAACGAAAAAAAAAAAAGAAGTTTTCAAGAAAAAAAAATAAACGAATTATATATATTCAAAAAAAAAAAAAAAAAATAATGGGTGTTGTAAAAATTTTGATTGAAAAAAATGAAGTTAGATTTTTAAACGCTTTTAATGATTTATTTTCTTCTTTATTCAATATTCATATTTTTTATAAATATTATTTTCCTAAATATGAAGTGAATCACCATATTTTAAAAAAAAATTCAAATCACATTTTTATAAATCGAGCTAATGAATATTTAAAAAAAATAATTGAGTCTATAACTATCATATATTGGAAAGGAAGAAAATGGAAAGGTATACTATTATTATAAAAAAAAAAATAAATAAAAGAAATAATAAGAATTAGGAAAAAAAAAAAAAAAAAGAAAAAAATGATATGATATGTATCAATATTTTTAAAATTCTTGATTAAAAAAAATTTTGTTAGGTACATATTGGCCTAGTAAATGGAAGTGGTATCATAGACACGGTTATTGGGCAACAAGAAAGAAGCTTCTTGATTTTGATAAATATAGACCTTATAGGTAAAAAGAAAAAAAAAAAAAAATAATAAATAGAATGAATGAAAAAAAAACATATATTATAGAGTATATATTTAAAGTTTATTCTCGACTAAATTCCTTATTTTTAATTTTTTTCTTTTATAGATATCATGAAGTGAAAGGATACGGTAAGCCTAAATTGAAATTTTGGCAAGATTATTCCTATTATAGACCTTTAAAACAAACAACAAAATTTTGGTAAAATTTTCTTTTTTTTTTTAGAAGTAAATTATTTTTAATAAAAAAAAACTTTATTAAATTTAATAAAAAAAAAAAAAAAAAAAAAAAAAAAAAAAAAGAATTAAAAATTTTTTTATTTAAAAAATTATCTTGTAGAATTATACTTTGAAAAAAAAAAAAAAAATATTTACTTCCATAAAAAACTATTAAACAATTTTTAAAAAAATAAAAAATTTGATTCAATAAATTTATATTGTATATTCTTCTTGGACTAAAAAAGACACAAAACAAAATATATATATAAGTAAAAAAAAAGTGGAAATTATATTTTATAAATAAAAAGAAAATTATAAAAGTTTTATTTTATTTTGTTTTTACTTGTTGTATATCCATTTATTAGACTGGAAGGAGATGCTCCTTCTCTCAATTTTAAAATATTCCTATCTGCGTTTCTAACTCTAGATTGCCTTGGCATTATAACTGAAAAGAAAAAAAAAAAAAAAAAAATAAATAATATATTTTTTTATAATCTGAATAGATAAAATACTCTTCATATTTTTATTTTCCAATTTTTTTTCGAAATATTTTTTTCTTTTTTATTTTTCTGACCATTTATATGGCCATAAGATCCTGTTTTTATATCAGCTAGATCTGATACTACAGGAAGATCAGTTAGTAAAGTTAAAATTGATCCAGATAACCATCTATTTCTAATGTAAAAAAAAATAAAAAAATAAAATAAAAAAGGTAAATTACTTTATTTTCATATATATATATATATATATATATATTCTTTTTTCCTTTTTCGTTTTCTACCTATCTGATGTCGTTTCTCTTTGTAACAATATTAATGTTGCCTACAATACCCAATAAAAGTGAATAAAATAGAGAAAAAATCTTTGATTAATTTAAAAAGAATAAAAAAACTTTAAACCATTGGTGTTCCTAATGTTTTCCTATAAAATAAAATGTGGTTTTTTTAAAAATAAATGTACATGTGAATGTCATGTAAATATATATTAACATTAGTTGTCTATTTTCAACTGCAGATGCCAATGTTTTTAGTCTTGATAAAGCTCTTATGGCTAATCTGAAGATACAATGAAGGTATATTTAGCATGTAATAATATACTTATATATATATCTATTTAAAATTATAATTTTTTTTTTTTTTTTTTATTTTGTGTGTACCTCCCTCCAGCTAATGTTCTTGCTGTTAAGGAAGTTATGTCATTTGCTAAAAAAAAATTATACAAAAAATATTTTTTTTAATTTTTAAAAAAATAATGCATGTACATTTTTTTTTATTAACCATTTTCATATACTTCTTTTATATCTTCAAGTGCTGTATAGATTTTAAAAATATGTATATGAGTATGTTCAGTTTTAATTTAAATTATGTAAGATTACATGTTTAATTAAATCTATACATATTACCTTCAATTATACATATCATTTGCTCCTTTAAATGTTTAATTTGTTTACATAAATTCACATCTGGTAGATTTTCCACACCTTTATTAATTAAATGTATATATAAATATATTTAATATTATTTTCACTACTTGAAATATCATTGGTTATATATATTTCACCACTATTCATATAATAATTTGTTTTATATATAGTTTTATTTACATAATAAACTTTCTAACCTAATGATTCTAAGGTATTTTTACTGTTATTTGATAGTTTTATCATATCTACAAGCCAAGGAGGAAAATTCTAAATAAAAATATAATAAAAAAAAAAAGTGAAATATAACTTTTTTCTTTTATAGTTGAGAGTAAAAAATTACTATTAAAAAAAAAAAATGAAGAAAAAAAAAATAATAATAAATTTAAAATTTTACATAATCTAATTCATCCTCTGTAGAATAATTTTCATATTCTTCTCTAGGTAAACTATTTTTATCCTATATATAATAAAGAAAATTTATAGAAAAATATCATATTTTCAATGAATTACTTAAATTATTAGCCGTTTATTTACTATAGCATCTTTTAGTTTCATTGCATCTTCATTCATTTCATTATGCAAATGATTGTCAAATTCTTCATTTTCTAAATTATATTTATATTTTCTTAAACCAATATTCAACTTTCGGTCCAAAGGTAAATCTAATGGGCCTATAAAAAAAAAAGAAAATATAATTTTTCATTTTTATTTACAAAGTTCAATTTTTTTCGTCATTATTATATTTTTTTTTAAATATACACCATTAGGTAAATTCATATTTTTATCTAATGGTGATTCGTTCTTGTTTTTGACAGAGCATATATAATGTTTAAATAAATATAATTGAATTAAAAAATAGTAGACAGAAAAGTTTATAATTTTAACTAAAAGAATCATTTTTTTTTATATTTTTATTTTTTTTTTTTTTGTTAATAATATTTAAATTAATAATAAAATAATTATAATTATATATCTTTCTACTTAGGTATATATATATACATAATATATATATATATTATTTTCTTTTTTATTATATGTTAATATTTTTATAGAAAAGAGTTTTCTTACAAACTTTAAAATATTTAATGAAAATATAAATCTTTTTTTTTTTTTTTCTATACATATATGCCTATATAAATGTATTTCTTATTTTTCTTTAAAAAAGTTTGTATCTGTTTTGTTACTTTATAAATTTTTTTTTTTTTTTTAATAAAATAAAAATGTGTACATACCAAAAATTGAATAAAAATAATTATAAACAAAATTTTACATAATGCCAATTAGTTTAAATTTTAATATATTTGGATGTTTTTTTCTTTCTTTTAGTCTTTGAGATATATCATAGAAATATGATTTTTACTTTTGTATTATAATTATATTATAAAAAAGGAAAATAGACAACATTTCTTTATTTTTTCCTCTTATCTTTCCTTGTTTCCTTTTTCCAACTAAATATTCTTTTTGTATTACCTTTTTTTTAATATATCATAATTATACATATATTGTTATGTCAAAATCATGAAAAATAAAATTTTTCAACATTTAAAAAATTAAAAATTTTGTATGATTTGAAAATTTAAAAAGATGGTACTGTTTCTATTAGTTAATATTTGTATGAGCAAAAAAAAAAAAAAAAAAAAAAAAAAAACAGCATATTTTATTTTAAAAATTTTATGAAATTAGATTAAACTGATATATTTTTTTTTTTTATTGGAATAGCATTTTAATCTTAAAGATTAATTTAAAAAATATAATTTTTTTATTTTTTATTATACAGAAATTATAATATCTCCTTAAAGCAAATACAAATTGCTTATAAGCATATGAAACATATAAAATAGAACTTATTATTAAATGGTGAAGGTGTTAGGAAAAATACTCATTTAAAAAAAATTCATAAAAAAAAAAATATTATGTTGAAAAATATGAGATAAATAAATACTTCATAAGTTAATATAAATATAATAAAAAAAAATTTGTTTTTTTTTTTTTTAAATTCAATGTTATTATATATGTCTTAAGTGTTCATTAAAGGCTACCTGAATGGTATACATAAGCTTCTCTATTATTTTAAAAATATAATTCTTATATTTTGTTTTAAATTTTATTTAAAACAATAAATAATTTGAATTTTTCTAAAAGTAAATTAAATAAATTGAAGATATTAAAATAAAAAAAAGAAATATGTATATATATACAGAAAGAGAGATTATAGTTTCTTAAAATGTCATGGTTATAAATGTTTAACTATTACATAATCTTTCCTTCATTTATAAAATTAAAGAGCTACAATTATTCTTATTAAAAATTCTTCATTTCAATTATATAGAATAAATTTTTATTTTTTTTATATTTATATAAATCATTTTCAATTATTACATTTTCATTAATAAAAAATTAAATAATATAAATAAAAATAAATTTATTTAATGCTTATCTTTTTTTTCTTTTTTCTCTAAAAGAAAATTTATATAAATGTTAAAAACTATTAATGTAAATTATAAATCGTTTTTAATATAAATTTATATTGCTTATATATATATATATAATGAGTAGCAATTTCTGTAAATAAAAAAAAAATTTCTGAAATATTTTATCAATGTTATATGTGTATATAAAAATTTTGAGATTGTGTTTTCAAATTGATAAAAATAAAAAATTTTTTTTTTTTTTTTTTTTATTTATAACTTAAATATATACTATAATTATTGCATAATTAAATATAAGAAAAAATAATAAATTTAAAGTAATATATGTATGTGTTTATTTATTTGATAAATTTTTTTTTCTTGTAATTAACAAAATTTACATATTTGTATAAAAATCTTATGAAAGTAAATATTTTTCCTAATGTTGCACCAATAAATATCAAACATGAAAAATTAAAACATAAAAAATTAAAGAATACAAACAGCAATGTAGAAATATAACATTAAATTTATAAGATGTTTGAATGTATATATTTAATTACACTTATCTTTTATTTGATTTTAATAAGTGTTACTTTAATGAATTCATTTATATGAATAATTGTAAAAAATGATAAATCAAATAAAATTGTGTGTAAATATATTTTAACTTATTACATGTGTGCGCATCTTTATGCAACCTGAAAAAATGAGCAAATATATAATATAGATGAAAATACAAAAAAATAAATATGTATATATTTATGTAATAAAAATTAATGATTTGTTTCATTTTATTATGAAGAACAATTTTTTCTTATAATTTTTTTTTTTTTGTTTCTTTCATATATGTAATGTCATTATTTATAATTATTTGAATATTTCTATTTAATTTTTGTTTGTTAAATCTTTTCAGTGTTTTTATTTTTCTTGCTTCTTTTTTTGTTTTATCTCTTTATTTTTTTTTCATTTTTGTCATTTAATATTAAAAATATGTTTTATATATATATATATATATATACAATATTATTAATTTTATAAATGATTTTATTTGTTATACATAATTATAACTTAATTTTTTTATTAATTTTGTTCTTAACATTAATTTAAATTGTTAAATATTATTTAAATAAGAACTTGTTATATTAAATTATGAAACCGTAATTAAAATAATAACATATGTTAATATTTTAAGAAATCACAAAATGCATAAAATTAACATAACCTTAAAATAAGACAATAAAAAATATTATTGTAAATTTGTTTTAAAATATCTAATTTTATATTAATTTTTTAAAAGATTTAATTTTGACAATTTAATTTTTTTTTTTTTTTTTTTTTTTTTTAATACTTCATGAACTGACACTCCCATGAAATTTTAATATATATATATAATATAATAATTTAGTATAATTAAAGTAAGAAGACAAAAAAAAAAAAAAAAAAAAAGAATAAATATGGAAACAATTTTGAGGAGACTTAGAAGATCTAGTAACAAAAAAAAAAAAACAATAGAAATAGATGCAATTGACGAAAAAGAATGGGCCCAATCAAAAACATTAGATTTAGCAGGTATATATTATTAAATTTTTTTTTTTATTTATATTAATATATATACACTTAGACATACACATTTAAATTTTTTATAACATGAAAAAATAGAGTTATATAATTAGAAGTTAATTTAACGTTATTTTTTTTTTCTTTTTTTTTTTTCAATTCATCATAAAATAGTAACATAATTATATTTATATAATTTCTTATTTATATTTTATAAATGTAATTTTTTCTTTCATATTTATATTCTTATACACTGTTATATTCTTTCTTTTTCAGTGTTTTTTTAATATTTTTATTGTGTGTATATGTGCATTTTTTTTTTTAATTTTTTAGAGGATTTGTATGATTATACTTTAGATAAGAAATATAAAAATAATAAAAAAAAAAAAGAAGATGAAAAAAGAGAAGACAATTTAGAAAATTTATATGGATTTAAAGATAAATTAGAAAATTTAAATGGTAAAAATAAAAAAAATGAAAAATATTATGTAAATTCCTTTTCACGAATGAATGAAGATATAACTAATGTTAGTACAGATTTTACTAATGAATACTACAAAAAAAAAAAAAAAAATGAACATGAAAATAGCTTAAATAATAAAGAAAAAAAAAAAATACAATATATGTATAATGATTTTGAAAAGTATACTTGTGACACAAAAGAGTATTCAGAAAATGATGAAGTGGATTTATATGAAGAAGAAATTGATGAAATAAAAAGTAAAGAAGTAGAAGAGGAATATGAAGATGAGATACGAAAAGAACAAATAGATGAAGACGAAGAAGAAATAGATAATGACGAAGAAGCTGAAGAAATAGATGAAGATGAAGAAGAAGAAGAAGAAGAAATAGTTGATGAAGGAGAAGGAGAAGAAGAAGAAGAAATAGTTGATGAAGGAGAAGGAGAAGAAGAAATAGTTTATGAAGAAGATGAAGAAAAATATCAAGAAATAGAAGTAGAAAAAGAATATAAATATGATTATGAAGAAAAAAATAATGACAATGAAAAAGATTATAGTAAAATTAATGAAGAAAATGTATTAGAAAATATAAAAGGAGAAAATGATAAAGAAAAGTATATAGAAGAAAATACAAAAGAAAATATAGAAGAGAATGAAGAATATTTAGAAGAAAAATTAGATATTTACACAGTTGAGGAAATAGATAATGAGGTAGAAGTTTCTCATGTTAAAGGAAAAGGTAGATGTATGTTTACAAAAAAAAATTTAGATCCAGGTTCTATAATATTTATTGAAAAGCCCTTGTTAATTATTACTCCTGGTTTAAATGAAAAATTATGGAATCATTTAAATAAATTAAATAATGAAGAGAATTTTGAACTACCTCTTAAATGGCATTTTGCAGCTTTATGTAGTATTACTATTCTTGATGATTCTAGTTTTAAAGCATGTATTGATAAATGGGTTCCAGAACCTGATAAGGAGCCTGATAAAGATGTTTATAATGTTTTAGATAAAGTATGTGATAAGAAAATTTCAAAAAATGGTAAAAAAGTATACTATTATAAAAAAAAATTAATTGATCCAAATATATATGACAGAATTATACAAGTTTGGCATTATAATGCTTTTGGACATCATACGGATAGTGAAGGATTAGTTTTATACAATCGTATGAGAAAAAAAAAAAAAAAAAAAAATTAACAAACAATTATATATCTACTAGTAAAATAAAATTTATTATTTATTATTTTTTTTTTTTTTTAAGGTATATCAATGCTTGCACATAGCTGTAATTCAACAGCTTGTTGGCATTATGGTGAAAATGACAGTTTTGTTTTACGAGCAAGAATTAAATTAAATGCAGGAGATGAATTAACTATATCTTATCTTGGAGATGATGATTTATATAAATCTTCTAATAGTAAGAAAAAGAAGAAAAAAAAATATCAAAAAAAAAAAAAAAAAAATCCATTTATATATTAAATTTTTTTTTTTTTTTTTTTTTTAATTAAATTTTCTTTTTTATAGTTAGAAGAGAAAAACTTACTAATTGGTTATTTGTCTGTATGTGTAGTAGATGTACTAATCCAATTGATAATTCTAGAGGTTTTAAATGTTCAACATGTGGAATAGGTAAGAAAAAAAAAAAATTATTATGTATATAGAGCATAGAAAAATATAAATGTTTATATATTTATAAAAATATGTAAGGAGAAAAATATATTTATTTATAAAAACAACATACATATATGAATATATAAATTGATGAAATTTCTATTGTAGGAACCTTTTATATAAAAAATGATTACCATGATGAAAATCCAATAGTCACAAAATGTAATATATGTTTTTCTGAAATATCTGAAAGCACAGCTTATGAATACATTGAATACGAAAACAGTTATATAGAAAGACTTCAAGAAACAGATAAAAGTGATTTGCCTGATGCATTGGCTGTTTACGTTCAGGCTGATAAAATATTTACACAACATTGGATAATGTTTCAATTATATACTATTCTTTTTGAAGGTTATAGAGATTCTTGTCAATGGGAGAAAGCTATATATTATCAGATGCAGCGAATAAAATATGCCGTTGATGTTATACCTAGAGCTAATTATGTTTTAGCTTGGTTATATGAAGAATTGGGAGAAATTCATGCTAATTCTATAAATACTGATATTTTATTGACAGAAAATGATTTTACTATTACATACGAAGAAAAGTAATAATATATTAACATTTTTCTTTATATTAATTCAATTTTTTTTTAATATATATATAAAAAAAAAAAAAAAAAAGAATTCATATAATTTGTCAAAAATAAGAAATTCATATTAATTAGTTTTTTGTCAGAAAAAAAGTTAAGCGAAAGAGTACAAAAAAAACATAAATTTATAAATTTTATTAATTTTTTTTTTTTTTTTTACTTTTTAGAAAAAGAATTTGTTCCCATTTTTTGAAATCTATACATATACTGGAAATTTTATGCGGATATTCACATGATTATTTGAAAGATTCTTTGGTAAATAATATGCATTAAAAAAAAAAACTTATTATATAAATATATTATTAAAAATATATATATATATAATATATGTAAATTCATATTGTTTTTTATATTAATATAGAACAAGTATTATAGAATTGATAGTTTAACCACAATTGATGCTCCACAAATAGAGGAATAAAAAACCATAATAAAAAAAAAAACTCTTTTTTAATTTTTTCATAATATATATCAAAGGATATATTTAATTTTTGAAAATTTCATGTTTGTCTTTATCATATAATAAATAAAAAAAGTAAGAATATTAGAGTTTTAACTTTTTATAAAATCATTGTCTATTAAAAAAGAAAAAGGAAAAAGAAAAAAGAAAAAGATAAAAAAAAAAAAAAAAAAGAAAATTATGAACATACTAATAATATTTCATTATTAGGTATTTAAATTTTAAATACATAAATTGTTTATTTAAAAAGATATATTATCTTTTTTTTTTTTTTTTTTTTTTTTTTGTTTTATTTAATTTATTTTTTCACAATATTTAAGAAAATAACGAAATTAATTATAGAAAACTATTAAATAAAAAAAAAAAAAGTTCTAATTTAATATATTCTTCATATTTCATAATGTGGTTTCCTTTTTTCTTTTTCTAAAGGACATTAATAAATAAACTACTTAATGGCATTTAGATACATATTTTTTTAATCTAAGAGCCATAAATATTTTTAAGCATTTGCATTTTACATGTAAATGTACAATATTTTTTCTTTTAATTGTTTTTTAATCAATTAAGGCTACGTAAGCATCTTTTGCTAATAAGCATTTTTTTTGTGTTCCTTCTTCATTTGTTTCAATTTTCATAAATCCCTTTTCACCCCAAGCTTCTCCCCAAGAATTTTTTATTATATAATAAAAAATATTTTCGTTTTTATTTAAATCAGTATTAAATGTTTCTTCCATTCCGTATCCAACAAGCATAACAGCATGGTTAACCTCTTTTGCACAATCACCGTCATAAATTCCAGAATCATAAAAACTGAAATCCTCTGAAACGGCTATACTTATACTAATAGGTCCAAGAAATTTTATAGCTTCCTTAATTTTATCTTGAGGAATAGATACAAATGATTTAATTTCATGTTTAGTTTTACATTTTTTTCTATAGCACATTTCTGGTGTAACATCTACATAAGGATATTCTTCTGCTGAACACAAACCACCATCTTTTATCATATATTCAAAAGCTAAAGGTATGTAACCTCCATTGCATCCATAATTATCAGAAGAACAATCAACTAATTGCTGTTCACTTAAAGATACGTGTTCATTTCTTCTTATTGCATATTGTGACTCTACTGCTCCTACTGAACTAAACGCCCAGCATGAACCACATGTTTGTTGATCTTTAACTGGTGTAACTCCACCTAATTCTCTCCAATCAAAACTTGCAAGACTAAATTCTTCATTTTCTTTCTTATATCTTTGAATTATTTCTTCATAATTACTAAGACCTGATAAATTATCTATGTTTTTTTTTATATCAAAATGTTTTAAATTTAAGTATTTTTTTGCAAATTCTTCATAAGTTAAATCTCCAAATTTATTAATTTTTTTTTTATATAAAGTATTTTTTTTATTATGTTCTTCTATTTTTTTATAATTTTGAGAAAAAATGAAAAATTTTTCTTCCATTTTATTTGAAGTCGTGTATTTTTTATTATTTTCTTTTAAAAATAAATAAAATGCATTAACGACTTCTAAATTACTCATTAAAAATCCTACATCATGTAAATTCACAAAGTCCTCTTTTTTTACCACTTTTAAGTTTCCTTCTTTTTTTTTAAAAGTAGTTACATTTCTATCATTTGAATTCCTTTTATATTCATCACTTTCTTTTTTATCATCAGTTACGTTATTTTTATCATATGAAGATATTAGCTCCTCTAATTTTGATAAAAAAAATTTTTTCCCATTCTTACTTTTTAATAAAGTATTTATTATATACTCATCATTAATATTTTCATTTGAAGTTCCCTTCAATATATCGTTTTTATTCCCATCTTTATTAATATATATTAATATTAATGCAATTAAAGAAAATACGGAAATAGATAAAATAATCAGAAATGATTTTTTTTTTTTTATAAATTTTTTTTCTAAAGGTTTTTCTACAAAAACTTCTTTTTCTTGTTTTATTTCTTCATTCGGAGGATATTGCATATGATATTCCATTTTTAACAAAAAAAAAAAAAAAAAAATATTCTAATTTAAGAATATATATATTATTTATTTAAATTTAAAAAAAAAAATTATTTTAAATAAATACAAAAAAGCATTAAAATATTTTGCTTTTATATAATCAAGTGGTTTACATATAAAAGTATTTTTTTAAATTTAAAAAAAAAAAAAATAAAACAAAAAATTTAAGCTTATGAGTTAATCTTGTGAATTTAAATTCCTTAAATACAATGAAAAATTTAAAAAAAGTACAATTGTTTTTTAATAAAAATTTGTACTCAAAAATTAATATTTTTATAAAATTTACCGAATAAATATTTTTTATATAAATTATAAAATATTATAAAAGGTTCTTAAATATAAAAAAAAAAAAAAAAAAAATTATATATTTGAAAAAAATGAAATCTCATTCCTTATTTATTATATATTTACTTAGTAATATATTAAAAATATTTTAAAAAAAGGTCCCTTGTTTATATAAAAGATATTGTATTGAACTTTTTAAATTTCTATTCAAAAAGCTCAGCCTAGTAAGAATAGATTAGTAACAAGTTCTTTTATTATTTAAAAAATATAAAATTTAAAAAAGAAAAAAATTTTATCCTAAATAAATGAAATTAAATAAATAAGAATATATCAAATTTATTATAAAAGTTATTTTATGTTTATTAAAATATTTTTAAAAAAAAAAAAAGGTATATAATTTTCGCAAAAATTATTGAGATTACTACTTAAAATATTTTAAAAGAAACATATAAAAGATTTTTTTTTTTTTTTTTTTTTTTTTTTTGGAAAAATAAAACTTTATTAAAGAATAGGTTTATTTAAAAAAGTTTAAGAAAAATAATAAATATTCATTAAAAAGTTCCATTTAAAAAAAAATTTTAATAAACAAAATGAAAATTGTAAAAAAAAAAAAAAAAATATATTTTTTGGTAAACATATGTTGAATAAATTTATTTAACATAAATATATGTGAAATAATTATCCCAAAAAAAATGTTCATTAAAATAAAAAAATTTTTTAATTTTATCTCTCTCTCTATATATATATATATATATATCTTTTAATTTTTTGAAAACATATATACAGAAATTAAACTTAAAAAAATTATTGTTTATCATTATTTTTGTATAAAATAAAAAAAAATAACATATTCAAATTTTTTTTTTTATTTATTAAATGAAAATTTTGAGCTTACTAAGAAATATAAAAAATGATTTCACCTTTTATATAGACGTATATATTTATAAACTTTTGCTGTAATTATGAATATAAATAATACTATATTTCTATTAAAAAAAAAGGATAAAATAAATATTTCTATTTTTTGTTCTGCAAAACTTTTGCATACAAGCAAAATATGTAAAAATAGGAAAAGCTTAAAATATTTAACTTCCATCAAAAATAATTCATCAGTTAACATACAAAAAACAAAAGAAGAATATGTTGATAAAAACTTAAGTACAGATATAAAAAAAAAATCTGATTTTATTCAATATGTCTTTAAATGGGGGATTGGAAATAAATTTCGTTCTGATCCAGAAAATAGGTTTTTACCTTATTTTTAAGAAAAAAAAAAATAAAAAGAAAAAAATAATAATAATTTTAAATATTATATATATATTATATATAATTATTTTATTATATTTCATTATAATCATTGTTATTAGTATAATTATTAATATTATTATTATTGTTAATATTTATTTTTTAATTAATAATTTAAATATTAATGTTGATATCATTATTGTTTTTAAATTAGATTTCATCCTGTTCATCTAAATCGTTCGAAAGAAGTAACTATCAGAAAAAATTATTTTGATTCTGTTAATGATAATATAAAATATGAAGAATTAAATGAACAATGGGAAGTTTTTTGGTTCGAAAACAACAAATTAAATGCAAAACCATTTCCAATTAAAAAATATGGAATAGAAGCAGCGAAAAAAGAAGCAATTAAATTCTTTGAATCTTTAAAAGTAAAACTAAATTTATTTCTTTTCAAATATTAAAAAGTATTCTTTTTTTTTTTTTTTTTAATTTGAATGAAATGTTTCAATTTTTTTTTTTTTTTTTTATTTTTAGATTAATAATCGTGTAAATGCGAAACCAAAATTTGAATCAGGAGTTGAGGGTGAATATATAACTATTTTGTTTTTTTTTTTTAAATATTCTTTTAATATATATTTATATTTTCAATTGATGCTTCTTTATATATTCTTAGGTGTTCATTATGATGTAGTAACTAACTGCTGGATATCCTTTTATAGATTAAATAATTTTCCTATATGTAGATCTTTTTCAGCAGAATATCATGGATTCGAAACAGCTAAAAAAATGGCAATAGAGAGAGTTAAAAGATATCAAAAATAATAAAATTTTTGTAAACACAAATATGCAAATTATTATAAGAAAAAGAAAAAACTTACATACTTTAAAATATAAAAAAATATATATATTATTTTGAATTATAATATTGTAAAAATGATTTATTAATATATAGTTTTATCTCAATGAAACTTTTTAATGATTTACATTTCAAAACTTCTATTCTTATATGTATTTGAAATAGTTCTCTTTTAAAGTTAATACGTACAAAATTAATTTTTATTGATTAATTTAGAAAAAAAAAATATTTATTGCTAAGTTAGCAAAAAAAAAAAAAAAAATTTTTTTTGGTAAAACAAAAATAGCTATAACAAAAAAAAAAAAAAAATATATATATATATAAATATATATATATATATATATATATATATATATATATATATATTTATTAGCTTTCTATAATAATCCTGATTCTGTTACTAAGACTCTTTTTGATGGTTCTCCTGAATCTGATCCAACAGCTTCAATATGAATTAATTTATCAAGACCTTCAATTACTTCACCAAAAACAACATGTTTACCGTCTAGCCATGGTGTGCGAACAAATATAATAAAGAACTGACTTCCGTTTGTATTTTTGCCTGCATTAGCCATTGATAAAATTCCTCTTTTGTTATGCTTTGCTATAAAATTTTCGTCATCAAATTTATTTCCGTATATGCTTAAACCACCTGTTCCATTAAAATTTGTTATATCTCCACCTTGTGCCATAAAATTTGGTATAATTCGATGAAATATAGAGTTCGTATAATTCAACATTTTACCATTCACAACTGTACCTTTGCATATACTTATAAAATTTTCTACTGTTTTTGGAGCTATTTTTCCATATAACCCAAAAATTATTCTTCCTATAGGTTTGTTATCTACAGATATATCAAAATATGCCTGTGTTGTTCATAACGTATTAAAAATTAGGAATACGATATATAAAAATAAAAATTTATATATATATAAAAATAGTCATTTTAAAGTATGAATCTGTTAATTTAAAATTTATTTATTTATATTTTACTCATATATATAAAATCATTATAATATATCACATAAAAAATTTATTTAATTATAATACCCTATGAGTGATTTCATGAGTCTCATTAGCAAAATAGTTTTGAGTTACAAAAAAAATTATTAAAATAACTGAAAGCTAATAATTTTAAAAAAAATACATATTTTCATAAATTAAAAAAAAATTTGCTAATTTGCTAATTTGCTAATTTTTAATTTTTTAATTTTTTTTTTTTTTTTTAATTCTCTTACTAATTTTCTCATGTTGGTAATTGAGTAATTTTTATATAATTAATTCAATTTTCCTAAGGTTCGTAAATATATGATTTTTTTGGAAACTAAGTTGTATTTCTTATTTAATAAAATAATTTTTATAAAGAATCTTAAAATTTATTATGTATAAATACAATAACTATATATATTTAATTTTATAATAAATAAATATTTTAATAATGTAAAAAAAAAAAAAAAAATTACAATAAAAAATACAATGAAAAGAAAAAATTATTTCAAAAAAGAAATACACACGTAGATAATAGAAATATGCTTAAGGAAAAATTCTTTTTTTTTTTTTTTTCTTAAATTATTTATATATTCTATTATTGATATATTATAATAATCTTTTATTGGTATATTTTAATTATTATTTTATTTTAAAATTAATTATATTTTTAAAATTTTATTTTGCATATATTTTTGTGTAAAATAAAAAATGATATTTTTAATTTTATGTTCCTACTAACTTTTTTTAAAAAAAATTTTAAAAAATCTTAGTATTATGGAATAAAAAAAAAAAAAAAAAGTATTTCTAATCGTAATACATATTCATTCTTTTTTACTTTGGAGTTCATTAAAATTTTAAAAATTAAACCATAATATTAAATTAAAATAAGAAACATTATATTAATTATTAAGTTTTATGAAAAGAAAAAAAAATCAAATAAAATAAAAAATTATAAGATAAAAAGATTTTTAAATTAATGCGAACTTGAACTCATTTAAAAAAAACAAAACAATAAAAAGACCCTTTTTTTATTTCTGTATACATTAATATATTGTGAAAATTTAAATATTTATGAATTATTAAAAAGAAAAAATATTTTATATAATAAAAAAATTTAAATATCACGTGTGTTCATATATTTATATGAACAAAATTATTAATTTTTTAATTTCTTAAATTTTCTATTCAACTATATATATATATATATATATGTGTTATGATTTAAATATTCAATTTCTTATTTAGAGGATTTTTTTTTAAAGAAATTCCTAAATTTTTCTTTTAATAACTTTATTTTAGATAATTTTTTACTTTTTAATTGTTCGTTATTTTCATTATTAATTTGTTGAGTCTGTTCTGAATCAAAAGAATTTTGAATAATAGTTGCAAGCTTAAAGTCGTCTTGTTCAATTTTACTTAATTCATTTCTTATTTCTGCATTTAATTCTTGTTCTAACTGCTTTGCCAATTCTTCATCTTTTTTTAACTGTTCTAAATACATCTGTTGTAATACCTTTTCCTCTTTTTTTATACTATGAACAAGTTTTATGTTTTCTATTTGTATTTGTCTTTGCTCCTGCATTTTCTTTTCATCTTCTTTTTTTTCTTTTAATGAATCAACTGTCCCTTTCCACATTTTTAACTTTTCTTCAAATGCTAGTGGTTCTACTACTATTTCAGCATTACTTGAACTGTTGCCTTTGTTTTTTATTTTCTCATATGAATTATCATTTTCATTTAAATTATTATCTTCTAAAGGATTTTTTAAATCTTCACTTTTTATATCATTTTCATCTTTACCATTTATTATTCCCTTGTCATTTGAACTCGTATATTCTACTTTTATGAAATCTTTTGAATTTTCTTCACTATTTTTTGTTCTATCATTATTTTCATCTAATTTATTACTTAGATCTTTATCTTTTTCATCTCTATAATTTAATTCATTATTTTTTTCCAATTTTTCTATATTTCCTTTATCATGTACAGTATTATTTTTTTTATCTCTATTTCTCCCATTTTTTTTTCTATTCTTTCTATTTGGAGTTCTTTCTTCCTTTTTATTATTTGAATTATTTATATTTTCCATTGTAAATTATTTATATAATATATATATGTATATATATATTTTTTTTTTTTTTTTTTTTTAAAGTAGGTATTACAGTTAACGGTTTGTTATTAAATAAATATTATAAAATTAATCTAAATTCATAATTTATTACTAAAAAATAAAGTGGTTTTATTAAAAGCATTAAAGTTTAAAACAAAAAAAAGAAAAAAAAAAAAAAAAGTTAAATTAGAAATAATTAAATTTTACTATGTAAGGATGTTTTTATTTTATAAAAAATTTCTCATTTATTTATAAAATAAAAAAAATTATAAATCTACATCATATATTTAAAAAAATATGCGCAGTTATATTTTTTTTTATTCTATTTATTTATATAATACAAATCTATATTTTTTTTAATTTTAAAACAAAAATATATAAACTATCAAAATAACAGGAATTAAAAATTTATAGAATATAGAAGCAAAAAAAAAAAAAAAAAAAAAAAAAAAANTAAAAAAAAAAAAAAAAAAAAAAAAAAAAAATATGAACTCTAAAATAATAAAATACTCTATAACTATTAAAAATAAAAATTACTCTAGGCCTTCCATAAAGAAAATTTTTTGTGATTAAAAAATGAAATAAAAAGTAAGAATTTTATTTATAAATATAATAGGAAAAAAAAGAAAAGTATGAATATATAAACTACGTTATAGTGTAAAAAAAAAAAAAAAAAAAAAAAACATGAATACTCTTAAAATTAAAAAAAAAAAAACAAGTATTATCATATTAAAATAAAAAATAAATAATAGGTTTTAAGGAAATAAAAATGAAGTTATGCTTTACTGTTGATATATTTTAGTTCATTTTTTTTTAGAATTTTTAGTTTTAGAATTTTTAACATTTTTGGAAAAAAACATATAATAATGCATAAAAAATATTTGTTATTGTTACTTTCTGATTATTAAGATGCTTTCATAGGAGTTAACAATAAATAGCTTTTCATAAAAATAAAATTATAAAAATTTATAACATTTTAATTCTAAAATATATGCATATATAATATTTTAAGAATATAACAGTTTAATTTATAAAAGAAAAAATATAAAAATATTTTTATAGTGATAAGTTTATATTATTTTCTCAAAAAACAAAATTTTTCAAAGAAATAAAAATGGAGCAAATAATTTTATAAAAAAAAAAATAAAAAAAATAATAAAAAATAAAAAATTTTTAAATAAAACATTATTAAATACATGTATATATACAACTATATACATAAACTTTTAATTTTCAAAAAAATAATAAATTTCCTTTTATATTAAATTTTTAATATATATTAAAAATATTTAAATATATATATATTTTTTTTTTTTTTTTTATTTGTGGTCATTTAAAGGCCTACTAAAAAACAAAATTTAAATAGCCCATGAACGTATGAAAAAATTTAAATATGAAACTTTAAATTATATACATTATGCATATAATAAAATAATATGAAAAAATATTATAAATACTTTTTTAGACAGAGAAAAATAAAAACATATATATATATATATAGATATTAGTAATTTATAAATAAATGAAAGTCATCATGTTTAGTTATCCATTTTTAACTAAAAAATTTGACATTTTTATACATTTTGTCATTTTCTCTTCTTTAATATCTTTTTTTTTTTTAAAATAACTCTTTACAAAGGATTATAATATTTAAACTTTGATTTATTAAAAAACTGTACCACATGAATAACTATTTGTCTTTCATTCTTGTGACAATATTGAGCATTTTTATTTATGTATGTTATATATGTAAGTAGAGAACTTTTATTTATAAAATATAACTTTAGAATAAATCAAGAGAAAGTTTTTCAAAAATATAAATGAAACGAATTAAAATTCATATATTCAAAATAAAATTATAAATATTTTATAATTTAATTTATTTTTTTCTTTTTCATAGATAGCTTGCAAAATGAATATTTAAATAATTATAGTAAAATTACTAGAATTCTATTAGCAGTTTTTAGCATACCATTTTTTATTTGTTATTACTGGTCATTTGTAAAGTGTTCTTTATCTGGACCTGGATATGTTGACGATTCATGGGAATGTAAGTTTTTTTTAGTTGCTTTTTCAAAAATTTTACAAAAAAAAATGTTTTTAACTTAAATATTCTTTTATCATTTTTATACATATTTTATAAATTTACACCATATATATATATATATCTTATTTTAAAAAAAAATAAAAAGTATTTATTTTAAAATGTTATTTGAAATTTTTAATAATATAGTAAATGCAGAGGAAAACAATATACAAATAGAAAAAAAGAAGATAAGAAACTACACACCAAATAAATATACTGTTTGTGATAAATGTAATTATTTGGTTAGACCTGAAAGGGCACATCATTGTAGAGTTAGTTCATATATATCTATGCATATATATATACATAAATATATATATCTACTTTTTTTTTTTTTTTTTTTTTTTTAATAGTCTTGTAAGAAATGTGTATTAAAAATGGATCATCATTGTCCATGGATAGGAACGTGTGTTGGAGAAAAAAATTTGAAATTTTTTTTTTTGTTTTTATTATATGGATTTTTTATAACATTTTATATAATTGCGACAATCATGCCAAAATTTATTAGATCTCTTTATAGCAGAGAAACCATGGTAAAATTTATTTAATAATTTGCAAAAAGAAATTGAAATAATTTGATATGAGAACTATTTTATCTTTTTTTTTTTTTTTTTTTTTTTTTTCCAATATGTTTT